AATACAATATTTTGATATTATCAATTTTTCTTAAAAAATAATGGACTTACGACAATTTTTGTAAAATACTTTTTATAGAAAATATCAAAATATATAATTTAGGTTCTTAAATTTTTTTCTAAGTAGGTACAATAGTTTCTGAATTAAAGAAAATAATAAGAAAACCACCCCCTTTTGTCATATTCAACCCCGATGTGGCACCATAAGAGGCTGAGAGAGACTTTCTAATTTTTCCAAAATTACTTACTCATGTAACTGAACAAATTTAAGGAGTATTGTCAAAAAAAAAAAAAATCATGTTAATAAAACATAAAGACCACCCTAATGTGCACTGTGCAGCCAAGATATAAGCCAACGCCAACGCAACTGAATGAAATATCTTAATAATTCTTATATTGGTATTAGTAATTTAAAATTGTAGTTGTAGAATTTCTATAATTATTATTCGTCTTTTTTCTTATTTTAAAGCGTAGGTACCTACCTACTATCTGTAAAATTTATTATTACAATAATTATATCATATTTTATAACGAGGATTTCGAATTGTTCTGCATCCCTTATGTACCTACTATTGGTTTATTCGACTTTTTTTTTTGTATATAGTATTTAAATTCTTTCAAAACTTTATGGACACATTTTTTCAATAAATAATTGAACATTTCATACGATGACGAAATAGCGTGTGTATTATCAATTATCATATATATGGTTTTATACGGCGACTAATGATAATATTTTACCCGCGACATTTTAATAGGTGTATTGATATAAATTATAATAAAAAGTAATAATTTATAACAATGATTTTGTTATAAAACTTCTCTATAAACTAAATTTTATGTATTTCTATTTGATGCCAAAATTACTAAATTTGTGGGTGTACTGACTCTGGAGTATGCCACATAAAATTGTCTATGTGAAAAAGAGTCAAAAATGTAATCTATAGGCTCACGGCTTATAAGTGCTTACTCATCGATGAACTCGTATATAAGTAAATAATTTACACGTAAAATTTTGTCGATTTTAACCTCTTAAAATCAAAATGAAAATATCATAATTTAACATTAAAATCTCATTAAATAAAAATGTTGAAAATTTCTTTCTTAGTGCACGGTGAAATTATAATATATCCACAACATTTCAAGTAATTCAAGTTGATAACTTTACTAATAGCTGGTACGGCTCTGCTTTAATTATAAATCAGTCACTGAGGATAGTATCGTTTATATAAACAGATACTGTCTTCAGTCTTGGGTAGGTACTAGGTACAATATGACTGCAAGAGACACTACAAAATCCTTCAAAGTCGGTTTAATATATTATGCGCGTTCGTACGTTGGCTATTCCCATTCGATTGATTGGTACCTAACGTACACAATAAACATCACGATGACACGTGTGTTGGACGTCGTTGCTATTTGTTTCGTAAAATTACCAACGATTTATTACTTCTTAACCTAATACGTATATGCTGTAGATGTTTTAAATATTTTGTGATTATTTTTATTTTATTTATCCCTCCATTTAAAAATCCTTCATAGTATGATTTATAGCAGTAGAATATAATAGGTATAATGAATAATGATTCACGTTAAGTATTGTTTAAAAGAGCACATCGAATAATTTACTCGATTCTCATAACATTTATTTATCATGAATATATTTATAAATATATCATGCAAAATATTACGATCGATAACAAAATCACTGAAGCATTGACATAAACCTTTTCCAGTGTCCAGTGAACCACTAAATGGTCAATCTTCGAAAATTTTGAAAAACTAAGAACTCCGAGGTTTAATAACTAAGCGATATTATAGTTCAATGCCAATCATCAACATAATACATCTTTCGTGATGGTGATTCAATTGAGCTCGATGTCATATTGGAGCAACCGATTACGAACCCATCTTCTACATATTGCCAATCACCATCGTTGGCCGTTGCAGTAGGTATCTGATAATCCTAAAGAAGGACCGTTCAAACAGGATGTGGCGAGCCTCGAGTTCGTTTACTTCTAAGATGTTTTTCACTGCTGAACTTTGCATTAAACGATTTAAACGCGACGCCTGAGAAAATCGAGGTAGAGTGCACCACTACGCAAATTTTGGCAGATGTTTCCAGTACCAAAGCAAGCGCAGGGACCGATACTGTGATGTACACTATTAAAAATAAAGGCCGTTCTTTAGGAAGCGTACAAAAAGTTTCTGCACCGTATATGTAGTTGCGTATAACGTGGTCGGCCACATAAAATAGCTTTTTGAATTGCAGGTACTAAGATATTTTATGAAAATAAAACGAACGGAACGGAATATACGTACATAGTTAAGTACAGTTTAATAAATTGTACGAGTGTTTTTTTTCTAGATTGAATTTGAAATTACTACAACTTTATTGTTAATCATTTCCGATGAAAAGCGACGATTGAAGATTGTACAGGCGACAGGCCATATTATATTGTACTATGTAGTATGTTGTAACATAATTATTAATTAGATTTTAAACAATAACTAATAAGTAATTCGTTCCAAAAACAAATCGCATATATTTATAAGTAGTTTATTTTAATATTAATTCGTGTATTTTTATACTAGCTGTTATTGACTCGTAAATTACATTTTTTGTTATACTGGAAAAATTACTTTTTAAATAATTTGTTATATTTATATAATATAAAGGATAATTTTTGATAGGTTACTTTCGTTACTTTTCGTTTTTTCCAACAATATTCCAGGAAACCCAGTCAGACGCCTCAAACGGAAATGGCCCAGAGATCTCATAAATATCTAATTTAAATACTTAGCTAAATATTACTCATGCCAATCATGTTTAGGTATTTCTAATGTGAAACACCTTTCTCGTTTTTCACCGTTCTTTTTTATATTATATTTCGTCCAAATGATTTACTTATTGTACACCAATGTATAGATTGTAAATAAATAATAAATGAGTTTTTTTTTTTTTTTAAAAAAAAAAGGTTACTTTTTTAATGTTTACTAATTAATGAAAAAGAGTGATTATGAAAAATCAGAAATCTATATGTAGATATTTAAAACAAGAATAGTCCATAATTAATTTCTCTAGAATATTAAGAGTCTAAATCGTATTTGCCCTTTATCGTTCATTTTTATAATATTAATAATTATTATTTAATTATATTTTACATTCAAAATTTTTGTTTTTATTAATTATATCTTTAACTGATTTACCAACCAAAAGGTTTTTGTTATTTCTTTTTATTTTGAGTCCATATTATACTAATTTGGTGTGATTTTCCTTCTGCTGGCTTACTTCTACAAAGTACAATTTTCAACACATACATTTAACTTACAGTTATTATCTTTGAATAGCATTTATTTTTAGGTGATTAAATGAATGTGATTTCCACAATAAACTGTCCATTATTATTTATACATTTTAATAAGAGCATAGGTTTATTTTGTTGATTTAAGAAAATACAAAAATGAAAAGTACAATTACTAAAAACTATTCTGTAGCTTATAATAATATTTATATCTTAAGTTAGTGTATTGATATAAACACTATTCATTTTAATATTAAAATAAAATCTTAAAGCTTAAAATTTTACATAAGTTTGTTAAGGTACATATAGATTACAAATATCTTCATAAATATTAACGCCATTATGTTCTTTTCTTAAAACAATCTTTTGAAACCCAAGTGGATCTTCCTCGTCAAACTCCTAGTATTAAAAAAAAATGATTACTATTTTAATATTGACAATTGAGTACTAAATAATTTATTTAAAGTATTGATAACTTGTTAAAAAAAAACTCTACATATGGTCTTAATTTTTTTTAAATGTGATAAAAGATCAAAATTGTTTATTAGGAGCGAGTTGGGCGAATAGAAAAGATTAAGAATAAAAAATATGAACTACATATTAACTATTAAGACAAAAAAATAAATATAAATTTAATCTACTATTAGTAAAAATTAGTATGTTTATGAGCTTAAAAACAATTATCTTGTGTGAATTATAATATTATGTAATTTATAATATATATATATTATAAGTATTCATCTAATTATAAAAAATATAGTTTGAAAAACATGATTCTAAGAAAAAAAACTAATGCCCAATGAAGATAATGTTGGTCCAGTAGGATACTAGTAAAAATCTCAATAGTCACATTAATACTTAAGTTTTATAATAAAAGCATAAACAATAAACAATCATAATATAATTAATTTCTAGTTCAAAATATTTAACAGAGAAGGCTGAAATAAATCATATAATTATAATATTATAAAACTAACTAACAAAAATAATCAATTAAAAATAACTTACCGCAATCAATGGAACTTTTAATTGAATTAATTCATTGAAATATTTAAGAACTTCAATTTTATTTATAGGTGTTGTTATGTTTAAACCAATTTTAATCACAGACTGTGGTAACTATAAAGTTAAAATTTAAGAATTAGACGATTAAATATATATTACATATAAAAATGATATACTTAAAAAAAACATACATGTCTAAATCTATATGGTAACAGAAAAATGTTGTTTGCTTTTACATACTCTTTATCACCATAATCAATATAGTATACAGAATAAGTTGTATCATTAACTTTTTTAGAAATAGTTGCACGTACAAATTTATTCTTAGATGGAGATTTTACACCAACCTTCTCACCAATTTTTGGAGTCTTTTTTTGATACGCACCTAAATACATAGAACAAAAGAATAATTTAACAAGACATTTTATTATTGATTATTATTTAAATAATTTATTATTAAATATTCATTAAAAAAACAAAATGTAAATTATTTAGAGTTCAATTAGTTTTAATTAATTTTTTAAATATGTTTTTAAGAATACCAAAAAATTAAAACTGAAATGTAAAGTAATAAATTAATTTTAGATACTCTCAATTAGAATATATCAGTTTTAAATTCTTAGTTTTATAAATGTGTTAATTTTACAATATTCTTTTTTCAGAATTTAAATTTTTTGGAATACAATAAAAATGATTCAGAAGTTTTTTTAACTTATACATTGGGAATTTAAAATAAACATGTTTATTTTCATTAGTTTTTGTTAATTAGCACTTTTTTATAGACATTTTGCACAATATTCATAAATTAAAATATTACAATTAAATTTTCATTATTTTTTAGAAAGGAAACTTTTATTTTCCAAACTTTCTTGTTATACTAAACGCATAAAATAATTTTATTTATATTCACTTTTCAAATTGACATAAAACTGATTAACTTCTGTAATTAAATCATTATAATATTTAGTTAATTCAGGTGTGTTAATCCGGATATAAATTTGATTTATAGAACAAAAATAAGTAATTAATACTATAGTCCCATTTTTTAACAAGTCATTATACTTCAAATAGTCTTTTATTTTTGACTCAAATCCTGAAAAAATGCATCAAAATGTTTATTAAAAATACAAAAAATAATTATAATCAATCATACCTTCATTATTTGACAAATTAAGACTTGATAATTTATTTTGTAAAAATTCTTTTATATCTAAATAAATATCCTTATTATCTGATTTTCGTCTTAATATAGCTTTGTTTGATCCACTAGAATCACTTTTATCCAACTCCTAAATATATATAATTTTAATCAAAAATGTATAATTGTATGTACAAACATTCAAACTAAGTTAACTTAAAATTGAAAATACCACAACAATTGTTTTCAGGTTTCTTCCAAGAATTTGCCATTAAAACACAATGTTAAAAATTTATATTTAACTTAAATGTTTGATAGATAACTACAAGTTGCAATTTCATTGACTTTGGTATATTAATATGTTACTCATATGTATTATTAATAGAAATACTATACTGGGAGTCGGAAATCACGATAATACATCATATATATATACTATATAGGTCCTACTTCATAAAATCACCTACTAACAATTATTAATATATTTTTTTTTTTTAAGCTGAAATATACAATCTATATAAGATGACATAAATATATAATATGATAAGAGACATTAGCATGAGTATACACTATTATTTTATTCAACAAGTATTAAATTCTGTTTATACTTGAATTTTTTTTTTTTTTTATCATAATTTTGTACTGGAATTTAAGAAATACATGTTTCAATGTAATATTTTTACATATTATATACTTTTATTTTTACTTTTCTTGGAGAACTGATTTTTTATCGGTTTTTTTCAATTTTGAGTTAACCTAGTTTGACTTTATTATATTTAAAAAGTAAAATTTAATATTTACTAACTATGAATAATGGTTGTAAATACAATTGTTCGTAATACATTTTTAAATACTTTAACTGCATAGTATTATTCAATGGAATATTTTTCAAATCTACTCTATGTGCTAAACAAGGAACCTAAAAAAATATTTTAAGTATAAAACAAGATACAACATTTATTTATATTTTAATTTTATTATAATAGTGAATAAATTAATTGTCATTGTAAATAATATTTTATAAAAAATAATAAAATAATAACTTACATTTCTAGCTTCTTCTAGTAAAAAAAATATATTATTTGAGTTAACATATTCTTTACAGCCAATATCAATAAAAAAACAAAAATAATAATTTGGATTCTTATCTAATATTATAGCTCTGTGTGTTTCATAGTAATACAGTGAAGTAGCTGCAACCATATCTCCAATAATTGCATTTTTTTTTATTTTTAAATTTTCCTCTGTAATACAAACGTAAAAATAAATAATAAAAACATTTGTTAATATTTAATTCCATTAATTCATAGCTTCTAGTGATAATGATAACTAATTCAACTAGCAATAAATAAAATTAAATACATACTTACTACTTATGGAGAGTATAATGTTAAATTTTTTAAAATTAATATGAATATAAAAAAATTTAAAAATATATTTTTGACTAAACATAATTAATATTTCTAAATTATAGTTTTTTGTATGAAAATAATTTTTATTAGTTTTATTTACATGTTTATAAAATAATCCAGAGTAAACTGTTTAATGCGGAATATTATGGGCCCAACAAAAATTCTACTTTAAGCAGTTTTCCGCTATATTAAATCAAACGGAAAAATTTAGGATTATAAATTTGTAGTATCAATTTTTCACATTACAAAATTAGTTTATAACATTTATAATTTTTATGTTTTGGTTAGAGACTAATTATAAACTTAATTTATTATTTTACTACAAAATTATTAATAACTTATACATATTATATTAGTATGAAAGTTGTGAATTAAATTTAAACATTTAGCTTTTCCAAAAATCATATAATTTTTTTATTATGACACTGTTGTTGCTATTTTTTCAATATTACATGTATTTGAATGGACATCATTTTGTATGTACAAACGAACTGTTAAATGTAAGACTGTTGGTGCATAACTATTTCACAGCTATACATTATACATACGGGATAAGTTTGTATCGCAGATATAATAACCAAAAATACAAATTACCTAACTAATATATGTATAGTGCAATTTTATCTTAATTATTGTTTCACGGTATACCTACATACTCATATCAACATAACGCATGTCATATTTTCGGCTTATGTGAGATTTCCTATGAATGGAAATTGAATATTTATGGTCAATAATAAAATTCAAGAACTTAATTAAAATCTATAGAATTCAACTGTATTACAATGTAATTAGCCGAATGTCTAAATTACTCAATAAAAAATTCAAACTATGTTTTTTGTCCATACATTATTTGAAGACGTAAAAAAGTTTTTATTAATAAAATGATAAATGCATTATATATACATTTTTTTATTTATCATTTTTAGTAACAATATTCTATGTTTAAAAAATATATATTTAATTTATAATTGTTAAAATTAACAATTAAAAAATATAAAACAATATATAATATAATAAAGCTGTCTATAGGTATATAGTTGACCCAGCAAACGTTGATTTGCTATATAAATAGAGTGTTTATTACTCTGTAATTTGTGCGTGTGCGATTTGAATAAATATATATTAAACAATCTATTGTTTATATTAATTGTATTTTTTATCACTGTAAATTTTACCTAACAATATTAGGCATGCACAGACTTCAGAGTTAGATATGGTTAAATTCAATCTAAACCCCCCCTCCCGTCATACAAGAAAAATTATCTACATGGGCAACCAGTAAATCTTTAATCGAGTAAATATCTATGATTTTTATTTATTTTGCTGTCGATTTTGTAAGGCTAAAACGCCTTATTACCTTCTTAGGTACCAATAATATCCACCCACATAAAAAAAAAAAAAAATGGTTCTAGTGAGGCTAAAGCCCAATCAGCTCTACTTGTGCGCACACCTAGGCTAACAATGCATGATATGTCACCCGTTAAACCTATGACAACTATAATAATTATGAGTTCATTATTATTCAAGATATTTCTTAGTATTACTATGAAATAATAATTAATTACATATACTTAAGAAAATAATCAAAAAAAAAATAAATAGTCTTACTTTTTTTATAATAGGCGTAAAACTGTTTCATTTCATTAGAATATTTTTTTTTTTCGTCATAACTTCTAATAAATACAAAATCAATATTTGTACCATAGCAAAATTCAACTAATGATCCGTTTTTAAATATATTATGTACAGACGTGTATGAGTCAGTTATTAAATCTATAGAAGTAGGCACATAAAACATTTATTAAAAATGCAAATTTTTCAACTAATATTCTTACCACTAAAATGAGATTCTTTAATTATTGATGAATCATCAATGTTAGTTATATTGACATCATATTTATTTTGGTCACTTTTAAAGATTTCATTAATAAGAACTGGTTGATTATTTTGATCTATATATTTCTTTTGTTTTAAAATTTAATAATTAATATTTTAGTTGTATAAGCAGCTATTATAATACAGACAAAATAGATAAATAAAGAATTATCATGGTTTTAAGTTAACAATTTTGTATTATTTTTGTCTGTGTATATTGAAAAAAAAATACATATATATATATTTATTGATAATTAATTAATAATATTATTTTTATTTTAAATTGTTAATAAAATTATTATATACATATTATTTTAGCATTTACCAACATCATAAATAATTAATATAACCATGATAACCATAATTTATCTTATGACAATATTTACTTACCAATGACAAACATTTAGGCTTATAACTAATAAATTTTGAAAATATATTATTTAAGCCATACAAATTTATATTACTTAACAAAGTTTTCAAAAAATTATTTTTTTCTTTATTTAACACCTTAAATAAAAAATAATATATTATTTAAATCATTGAAAAAGTTATAACATTTATAATTTATAACTCATACATACAAACTAATTTAAATAAAAAATAATTACCGCTTTTAAGTCATTTGAAAATTCAACATATTTATGTTCAACACCTAAAATAGATAAGTATATTACACATGTATTTATAAATATATAATGTAATGCATTTTTTTATTAAACATAATTCTAAAATATATCATAAGTTAAAAAATAAAACAAATAATTTATCTTAAATTGTATTTAATATTTTGATTGTTTTACCTTGTTCTTTGAGTTCTTTTATGCAAATCAAAAAGTTATTAACCTTGTTTAATTCTTGCAGACTATTACATTTAGATTTTTTAACTGTACTACAAACAAAATTGAAAATTAAAATTATAACAGATTTTTTTTCTTTTTATGTATAACCAAACTTTAAATTGTAGTTTACCATTTGTTCTTAGCACTAATAACTAAAGGATAAGAACTTTTTATATTTATTTCTTCATAAGACTTCTTCAAATATAACTCATTAACCATTTCTATTGGTTTGGTATTTACTACAACATAGCCTTTATGAAGTTCCTAAATTAAACAAGAATTTTCATTAATTAATAACATTAATACCAAAATTAAAAATTATAGAGAATATTAATGAATTTAATTTTATTGTGTAACTTACACTTTGTAATAATAAAGGTTGAATATAAAATTGTATAGATGAAAGAGAAGGAATTCCATTAACAGGTTTAATTGCAAGACACTGTAAATAAATAAATATTATTATGTTACTTTATCATGAATAATATGTTTTATTGATTAACTAAGACATATTTTTGATATTGTATTCAAATTGTTCAATATTTCATGGTAAATTAACAATCATTTTTTTTTCATTGTTAAATTATTTAACTAATTAATAAAAATATTAAAAATTTAATTTCTAAAGATTTTGCATGAAATTCTCTTATAATCTTTATATTAGGTAATTCTACTATTAATTCTTAATCTCTTTTGTAAGTTATATTACATTAAGTACTAAACCATATTTTTATGACATTTTCATTACAGAGTCTTTATAATGTGAAGATTTTTTTTTGTAATCTTTAAGATTAATTATTTTTATAATTTAATTTAGATGTCATTTAAAAATGTCAATTTTGTAATAACTGTCAACTGATGACATTAATTAATGTATTTTATTTATAATTTGATATTACAAGTTAACTACAGCTTACAACTTATTTACAGAATCCAAAATTTACTTATTATTGTTTATTTTAATATTTTATAAGCTAAATTTGGATAATATTTCAACTTGAGAGTAAATTATTTTTATTGTTGAATAAAGCGATTCACACAAACATGTTGTTCCAAAATTTGATATTAATTTAAATGCTAAGTTTTTATAAAAACTCATTTTGATATTTTAAAACAGGAACATATTTCCTAATTGCTAATATAGTGACAAATTGTTTTTAAGCTGTTAAGACCTTAATTTTTTAAAACTTTAAGAATTTTATTTAAGATCAGCTTTCTTGTTACAATAACATATTTAACTTACACTTTCAATGACATTAACTAAAAATAGAATTTATAAAAATCCAAATATGGACTTTAAACTTTGAGTACATAGTACCTTATCATCACAATTAACTTGTGTTTTTAACTCTATCAAACACTGCTTTATTTTTTTTTTGAATTTGAAAAGTTATTAAAATTATTAATTTATTTTTTTTTATCACAGTCTATTTGTCTATTTAAACAATAAAATAATGTAAGTATTAGAATTTGTTAGATAATTCATAATCTAATAAAAACAAAATAATATTGATATAGTAGGTACAGGTTAGATCAAATGATATAAAATGTAAACATTTTGGCTCTTGATATACAATATTATATATATTCTGATATTCATGTAGCCTGCGATCATATTCATATTAGTTATCCCTGTTATATTTTATTTATTTAAATATATAACATTTCAACATGCATTTATTACTAAATAAAAAATGTATTTCATGTTTTAGATAGGAGTGATAAATGTATAGGCTATATAATGTTTATTTATTTTACTTTTTTTTGTGCTTACATTTTATGTATTAAATGCATCAATTATCAATTTTGAGGGGACATTTTCTATGAAATATTTGATAGAAATTTATATCTTTATGTATTATTTGTTAATTATTTTTTTTTTAACAATGATATTTTTGATAAATTTGAGAAGTTGAAATGTTGGTTATAACTGTTGGTATAACTATAATTTACTAACCACAATATACTTTTTTTATTTTTACTTATCTATTTTAAATGTATAAATTAAGCTATGTAATTTTCTACTTGTGCTTTTACTTTATTTAACAAATAGTTTACATTAGTTCATATTATTTACTTATTATTCTGCAATAATATTAAGACTTTTTGATTTTTCAATATTCTAAAACAATCCTTCAAACCTTATTTTATAAAAATTTCACTTACTAAAGGATCATATTTATAACTATTTGGAAGTTTATATAAATCACATAATTGTTTTTTGATAATAGTTCCAGAATCAATTAATTCAACAGCTGTGTTTTTAACCAAAAACTCATTATAACTTAACATTCTACCTCTGCACCTAAAATACATTAATTAAATTTAGTTATAATTGAAAAGATGCTGCCACCACCAACATACATTATTACTGTCTTATAAATGTACAACATGGTAAATGTTAAGTTAACAATGGTCCATTTTATTCTAATTAATTTTAAAATGAGAGTGAATTAACCTATTAGAAAATTTAAAGGTATGGTTATTATTTAGAATATCTCAAATGCTTTTAATGATATTTTGATTTTGAAGTAATTAATTATCACTTTAAAATTTACAAAAAATATATAGTTTTAAATTCCATACTAAAAGTACAAAGTTAATAAAAAAAAAATGCTCATAACTTTTTTTAAAAATAAAGTATCGATAATAGCTTAATAAACTTACCTTAAAATTTATGATAGGTCAATTCACTCCAATTATAAAAATAATAGAATGAAATAAGTAATGGTGAACATGATATTTACAATACTGTATAACTTAAGACTGAGACAAAACAGTTAATTTAATTTCCATTAACAATTATGGCCAAAAAATAATTGAAAATTCTCAAAATATCTCCAATCTGAGCATTTAAAATTATATGAATAATAATTTAGGTATAATAAATAATATTATAAATAAACATAAATTATACTTAAATTATTTTTACTATTTCCATGACAAATAGGGCAAAAATAAAAATATTAAAAAATAATTAAATCATTTCTTATGATACATTTTTTTTTTTTTTGTTAGAGAACTATTATAAATTATTATGTTTATATCATGATGAATATTTAATATTTAATTAATTATTTAGTTTCATATCTATTAATTTATTAAATATATGCAAACTAAATATGCATATTTATACTATATTATAACTACTTACATTCTTACACAAAATACTATGTAATATAAATTTGGTTTTTGTTACATACTTTTAAATGAAGTTTTAAAAAAATATAAAAATACTTAGGTACTACTTATAAGTATAAATTCGTTTAAAATTCAAGTTATGTTAGAAGTTAAATATGTGTTAATTACTACTAACCATAATCCTTCGATTTCTACTGCAACTAATCCCATCAATTGATATGTGTTAACTTTTTCAAATGTATAACTATTTAATGCCATTTTATGTATGTCATTACAACGTTGTAAATATTTTTCATTTGTAGTTATTATGTAAATTCCATTGTCTGATTTATAACCAGGCATTAAAAAAACCTAGTAGAAATTAAAATATGACATTAAGCATTTTAATATATGAGTTATTAATTTTATTAATCATATAAAAATTACCAACTTAAAAAATAGTATACATTAATGACACAAATTCTTAAATATAATTTTAACTAATACTTTTTACCTTCTTAATAAATAACTTAACACAATGGAAAATAAATAAATCTTAATTTTATTTATTTAGAGTGTAAACCTCATCACCCCTACCTCATTTGTAAATTTTTAATATATAGGTTTGAAATTTTATAATCTTACAATTGGCCATTCTTTTTATTTGGCTGAGAAGACAAAATTTACATGAAAATTATTTATTAAAAATTTATGAAAAAAAAAAAAAATATATATAAAAACTATATAACTTTTAGATATATTAATATATAATATTTATAATAAATGAAAAATAATAATCAGAGCTTTTTTTTATGAAATTAATATCTATTATATTCAGTATCCACCATGTTGATTACTAAATATTTACTTAATCAATATCAATTGAAAACTAGCCAGACATCTAGTTTTAAAAATTACATTTCAATAATGTTTTATTTAATTCATTATAACATATTACAATTCTTAATATTTAACTAAGAAAAATTTTATATACAATTTTTTTAGCAAGTAAAAAATAATAACATTTTTATGCTCTTAACCCCTACATTTTTTTGTCTTCTGGACACCATCTAAATGAACATAATTACATATTAACAAAAGACATATTGTAATATACAAGAATTTAAAATAAATATTACTATACATTTTTTATTTAAAAAATTTTTTTCAAACATACTAATAAAATACATTTACCAGAAAATAAATGGAATTTATTACATTTTTAGTATAAAACAAGTTTAAGTTTGTAAATTATTGTACTATATTGTTAAAAATACACAAAAAGTATCATATTGAATGTCTAAATTATTATTACTTACTGAAGTCCAAGAGTCTGAAGGCATAAATGATAAAACTTGTTGTGAGGAAAGGCCCATACTCCCAACTCTAAGTAAAAAATAAATTTTAAATTTAATATTTTATATTGGGTGTAGGTATTTATTTTGAAACAACACCATATAATTTATTAATAATAAATCATTACTAGAATTGGAAATAACATAAATATATAAGTATAGGTAATGATTGGCATAACTAGGGGATGCAATCCTAAAATAAGAACATTTTTCTATTTAGATTAGACTATTTTAAGGTAAATAATATCATTAACAAAAATATTTTGTACTGAACTGTATATTATTGAAAAAAATAAATACCCTATATAATGTTCCTTGCTATCAGTGGTCTCTTAAATTTTTATGCACCCCCAAAAATTTTAGTTTAGTTACTTCTATCCAGGTACCTATGTAGTTAACCTATGTTAATAATTATTTTATAAGCATAAAATTTAATGAGGCAACAGAAAATGTTTATAACCAGTAGGGGTTTATCATGAGTGCAAAATACAAAAGTATTTTATTTACTCTTACTTAGGTACATCAATATTATAAATGAGCAATTGTATCAAAAACAGAAACATATGTACAAAATCAGATAATTTTATTGGAATTAATTTTATTAGAATTGCATATGAAATAAAAATTGAATCGTACATATAAAAATAACATATTAAATAGTAATTTTGTTTGAAAGCATTTTTCTTTTTTTGCAAAATTATTTTATTTTAAATACCTATTAGGTATGCTTGATCATTTTCATACATTGAATTGTAACTTGCAGTACCTATTTCAAAGAATAATTCTTTATTAAATTAAACAATTTGGAAAATGAATACAATTCTTTATGTAATAATTATACCACCTAGAAAGAATGGCAGAGAACTGTATAATAAACAATTTTTTTACTTTAATATACATTGAGTTGTCATGTAAATAGTATAACACAAATTCTATTCATAAAATAGATATAATAAAACTATTTTTTTTTAACGTTGCTTTTCAGTAATAAAAGGTATTGTCCCTACTAGTCTTTTGGCAAGCATCAACAGCATTTAACACATCACGCAATGTATAATACACCACTATAAATAAGACACGAAACATTACAATGTATAAGTAGACTAGTAAACCATCGATATTACCCATAAAGGCAAGTATATAACAATATACTATGCATTTATATAAAATAAACACGTTAATTAAGTATTACAATTATACTATACTATCATGTATTACCTCGTGTGTAGTGTGTACTCGATTTAATGACAATAACAAAATTATGACAGAAATAAATTCAAACCTTAAAAGTTGAAATACATCAACAAATAATAAAATATACAATAAACAGAAATTAAAAAAATTTTGAAATACATGATCGTCAAGATCACGATTAAATCTGAAGCCTAAGCATTAAATACTAAGTAATAACGGTTATAATAAAGTTCTACTACCTTATGGGTTATAGTGCCAAACAGCCAACTGACAAAATCCGTGAATAGTAGAAGTGATTATGTATTATGTAATAGACATTTACTCTTAAACGGAAGTGGAACTGTGAAAATGCAACACGCCAACTAGTAACTTTCAAAACAAAAAACTCTGCAACCATCAGTCAATACGAAATACAAGACTGAACGGTAACACACGTGTTTTAACTAGAACAATAATATTATAATAATTAAATGATATGACGTTCATAAATCATAGTCTATATTAGTAAATATTTGGTAGTAAGTTGGTACTACGAATTAAGATACATATATATGTATATTATCTAATTAGTAATCTACTGTTTTGGACAGTAGGACTACTAAGTACCAGGTAGTAGGTAGTTAAAACTGTTAAAGTCATAAATTTATAACCAATAACCAATGAATAATATATAACAATAAACAAATGTCACAATTTTATTATTGTCACATGACACATGTCACATACCTATTATGAAAATTGCATTTAATATTTAAATGTGACAATAAATTTGATTATAAAAAAAAAAAATGAAACAAAATTTAGTATAAATATGCATTTCAATTAGATTCAAGTTCCTATAGATTGTATTCAAATATAATGGTATAAAGCCAACTATTTTAAAAATATGTATATAAATAATATATATATATATTATATGTGTGTGTTAAAGGCAATGTGATATTACAAATAGATATCTATAATAACTCAAAATCAACTACCTATTAAATTTCTTTGTACCTATGCATTGTATTCACAGATACCTCTTCCAAATCAAAAACCAGCACTGGATCAACCATTTCCACTACCAACTGAACGAGAAGTATCTACTATAGGTACATTATACATGACTCAACATAAGTCAAAACTCAAAACTCAGAAGGAGATTGCAAATTTTGAGTTTATCCATCATAAAAATTAAAAAATATAAATATTTATGTATGTCGTAAAACATTTTTGCAAAACCTACTTGAAAATTTTTAATTGTTATGGAATGTAAAATAAATATAAATGTTACGAAAAGGATGGTGTTGGAAATATGATGATTTATCACAAAAGGATATGGATCATGGAACAAGGAATAAGGATGTTAAAATTAAAATACTTATCATCCATGATTAACTTGCTTGGAGAGAGGTATTAAAATAAGAAGCATTCCATACAAGTGAAAGTATGAATCCAAAACTAAAAAGCTTTGTGGGTAAAAGTAAATGTTTTTCTTCATGATCAAGATTACGGAATCTGATGGGATATAAACTACCTTTTGACAGATATGATTGGATAGTAGATCGCTGTGGTAAAAAATTACGATATGTTATTCATTATTACAGTGCAGATAATTCACCAAATAAATATCAATTGGCTATTTTGGATGCAAGGCCAGCACTAGATTTATTTGAAGTTTGAAGCGTTAAGGGATTGAATATTGATCATTGATCAAAAATAAATATATATTTTTTTTAATCAAAATTAAAACTTCTTTAAACTTTAAAAATTAATCTTTAACGTTCCAATTTTAGGCAGCTTATTAGAGATGGCGATTTAAAGCTGAAATGGAAAGAAGTATTGACGTATTGTCAATAAAATGGATGAATTAAGAAATAATGATAAAAAGGTGAAAATAAATTCTTCATTTTTTTTTTTTTTTTATTGTTTAATGTTTACAGTGGGTTTCATGAGTAAAAGTAAACTTTTTTAATCCTAATAAGATTTCAAGATTAAAAACAAAACTGTAGTCTGTAAGTATACCTAGTATTTTATACATATACATCACTTGGGTATTTTGTTGTTGTTTATTTTTTTTAATTTAATGATGTTGCTGACTAAATACTTTTAATGAAAAACATACTACATGTCTTACAAAGCTAACTTTGTTCTATGTAATAATCATACAGCCAATATTATAATTAAGTAATTAACTATAATATTAATTTCAAATTAGAGCAATTGTATTGTTTTTATGTATATAATTTTATTTTATATCAGTGAGTTGAAAAAATATACATAAATAGTTGACATTTTATATTTTTTAAATTAAGCTTCTCTCAATGCACTACTTTTCATTTTCCATTTATTTTTTTCTAAATATTAAATAAAACAAAATAATTGGAGTAGAAATATTAATTTATGACCTATAACTATTAAGTATTTTATTTATTTATTCATTTTCTATTTAAGGCAATTCAAGTATTATATTTTTGAAATAAAAGTCAAAAATTATATATCAAATTGATTTACATCATGTTTATCTACCTTTGGTATCATTTAATCTTCTATAATTTTTTTAATATAAAATATTAAATGATTGCATCATTTTATAAATTACTAATTTGTTACAGTAAAATATACATTAAAATAATGAAGAAAATAACTTTATTCTAAATAATTAAAAATTATATATTAATAATTGTAAACAATGTTTTAAATAATCACTGACAACTGTCAGTTACTCCAGTGGAAATTTCCATAAAATGCTGTAAGTGAATTCAGCTTTCTATTAATAATATTCTGCCGAATTTCCACTTTTCCAAAACTACTTTCCGAATACATACACTGAAAAATTATAATATAAAGTTTAGTTTATACTTAACACCATAGATCATGTGTTTTACTTCAAATATATTTGTAGTTTTTGGCATATGAAATGCTATGTTAGGCGCTATAGTTTTAACAATGTCAAAAATACTGAAACCTTTTCCAAAATGATCAGGGCACATAGACTCTATACTATAGCTTTTATTAATTGAATATTTTGGATCTCCTCATGGTGGTGACATGAATACTACATCGGCTTTTAACTTTAGACAAATTAAAAACAAGTCACCAACTATAAATTCAATTTTATCAGCAACACCATATATATCAGCATTATGATGTGCTCATTGTTTCTTAATTGTATCAATGTCAACTGTTATAACTAAATATAAATAATTTTATTAAAATTTATACTTATTATATTAAATTGTACTAATTATACTATTTTTGCATGTTGTTGCTAGTTGGATTATATTTCCGCCTGCTCCTCAAAAAAGATCCAACACAATTTTATTTTTACAACATTTTGCTTTATGACAACTTAATATTTCTGGACACATTGAGTAAAAGCTTTCTGTAAAATAAAATATGGTTTAAAATTTAACACATTCTCTGCTTACCAATAAATGTCTTCTGAGTTATAGGGTATATCTAAATATAAATGTGTGTACCTTAACTTTACCCATTTATTTCTAAATTATTTAATTATTTTTGTTAGGTATTATAATACTTACATGTATATTATTTAGAAAGAAATTATACGAAAATAAATGTGCAGTAAACATGTAAAGCATAATATATTATACTTTAATTACCAGTATTTAATAAGAATCTGTTCTGGTTTTTTTGTACAATTTGAGTTGGTATATTTTTGATTTATTAAGTTTTGATAATTCTGATAATTTTGATGATTCTATTATAAAAATATAAAATACTAAATTTATTTAAATTTATATAATATGTATATAAGTGCACATAGTTTTTTCCATAATTATTTTTAATAATATGGTATGTTATATGTTTCAAGTTTATATAGAATTATATTCAAAATATAAACAATAAAATTTAATCTTGTTACTCAAAGTTCTAAATATTATCTAATGAAAATTATTCCATAATATGCAATAAAATTTAAGTATCATGAATAGAAAGTAAAAATTATTCTTAAATTTATCCACAAAATAATTATCGATTAATTGAATTTTTAAAACTATTATTAAATTTAAAATATGTTTTATACAAAATGTTTAACTTCTTCACTATAGAGATTCTTATCTAAGAATGTTTGAAAGAGTATTGGCTTTTAATATCTTCCTTTTTGATTTTATCCATCAGAACTACCTATTGAATTCTAAAATATAACAAATAATATTAAACATTTTTGTTAGTTAAAAATTTATTTTAATTTAAAAATAAATTTTTCTGAGATATTGTAATGTGATTTATCACTTAAAACATTAAATTAGATAAAGTATACACTTATAAATGTAGTACATATTAACATAAAAAAAACTGCATAAATAATCAACTTAAATATTAAAATATAAAATTTGTCCTAAAATATTAGTTTTCCATTCAAATAATAATTTCTTTAATGAATGAAGTACCTAACACTCATTACTATTCTAAATATTTTATTCATAATTATTATGAGACTTATGATACAATCTGAAATTATGATCTCTTTACTCTTTAGTTACTTAAATGTTTTAATGAATAATTAAAAATATATTTACATTTAGTTTTGGCGAAGTATAAGTTATTGAATTATATCTGGTACTAAACTGTTTATTAACATTACGACAACGTATCTTTGATGGATAAATTTCATAAAATCTATCATCATTACCTACAAAACCGCAGTAATTTTTTCAGAATTTTTATCGTATAATTCTCTATAACAAAAAAAAAAAAAAAGAAAGAAAGAAAGAAAAACTACTGCGAATTGATTCATTTAAGAATTAAGAATACTGTTCAAAATTTCCCATTTTATTTTTGCATTTATTCCATAATAATACAGTATATATTTATTTGTAATGAGATAATTAACAATAATCTTAGTCTAAAGGCATATTGTTCGAACTCGGTATCTTTTTAATTGCCCGCCGGTTCAGAAGAACGTACATCTTCCCTCCCGCCGCCACAAAACTCCGCTATCGTCTCATAATTATCTTATGTACGATATAATCGTTGCGAGACCGATATGGATTCGGCTGGTTTTGCCCGTCGACCTTTTAATATAATATAATATAATATATACGTCGTCAGTGTGTCTTTTTGCAACCACCGGACGGTACATATCTGTGTGTGTGCCCCGTCGCCTTCATGCGTGTTGCGACGTAAAAACTTTTTTTTGGAAGGCAACCTAGTTGGTTGTTCCTTCACATTGTTTTCTTATATATATAATTTTGTGCGTGTCGCTGTGTGCCGCCGCTATAAACCTTGGTGGTTTTTTTTTGGTTGTACCATATACGTGACGGACTTCATCGTTTGGACCAGCATCATCCGTCAGTGGACTAACGATCATATTTTCATCTCCTGAAGAAAGTGCGGAATTTACCAGGTCGTCCTTTTGGTTGTCTATACTTCATATTTCTTAATATTATTGTGAATCACGTTACGTGAATCTAATTATATACTGTTTCCCCTTTTTTTTTTATTTTTATATATATATAATATATGTGTTTACGATATTTCGATAATTTTGTTTGGGCGCCCTTTTTTAATCAATTATTATATTAATCATTGTGGTGAAATATATGTTTTTTATTACCCTGTATTTTTATAATTGTATATATTATACTGCTTAGAGTAACCCCTTTTATCCTCAGCACACCGCGAGTCGTGGCAGCAAACGGCTCATAATTGTACGTGCTGTCCCGGCGCGACACATATTAACTTGACAATAATCTACATAAATTATGTTGAACGGTAAATATTTATATACCTAATTTTGAAAAAAAAAAATTATAATTTAGTAATTGCATTAATATGTTTTCAATATTGATATTGCTAGATTGAAGAATCTTGTACAATGCATTTTTAACAATATAGAATAATTTAATTAGCTTAATAAAATATTTTGGTTTACTTGAATTTAAATTTATAATTAAAAAAAAGAAATGAATATTACTTACGTTTTATCAGTTTGTTCATTTTCAGTATCTAGCTGTAGTAGGTACATAATTTAGGTTTATCTGAATGGAAGTTACTATTAGAGGTTTCATTTTCAACAAATGATTTGAATCTATTATTTGGATATCTATAATTTCTATAAAAACGTATTTTAAATTTAAAACTTCAAAATGGATGTACATTTTTTTTATATTTCTAGGGAAATAGGATAAATGAGGTGCTCACCTCCAAAGTCCAAACCTTATGAAATCTTCATATGAAAGAAAAATTAAGAAAGTTGTGCAGAAAAATGTAGACTTAAACATATAAATAAAAATGTATGTAGTTGTCATAGTAAATCAATAAACATATTTATTTATTTTTCCTATAACCGTTTTTATTCATATTTACGACCAAGGTTTCAACAAAGCAGTGCAATATTATTTTGTCCGTGTCATTACGTTTTATTTCGTTTTTTTTTTTTAAACAGGATATTACATAAATTAAAGAAACTAGTAGTTTTTTCAATCTCAATTTTTTTTGTGAAACAGTCAAATATCTCCCGGACTAGGCCGGATAATTCAGCTAGTTTTAAATAAATCTCAATTAATATAATTTCTATTTTTGGCTGACAATAATTGTTAAAAATTTAATATTTGCACAAAACAAGAAAACAAAAATGTTCAATATAAACATTTATATCATTTCTAGAACTTGTAACTGAGTTTGAAAAATTCCCTGCTCCCAGCAATTCATAATATATATTTATGCCACTGATCTAATAACACGATGGTGTTTTGAAACGTTGGCCCGTAAGTATAAAATGTGGTTTAGGTGATTCGTACTGATTATTTTAAAGTAATTTTTTGACAAAATTAACCTTAAACGTATATTTTAGAGTATTTTGGTTGACGATTTTAGTGTATTTTCTTAGTTTTTAGAGCTTTTTTCACAACTTGTTTATTAAAAAAAAAAAAACAAAAATTGTTGTGATTGTTGCGGTTCACAAGAGACTTTTGAAAAACTGCCGACAGTACAAATAATAATTTATATAGCACGACAAGTTATCGTCAATAACAATATTTTTTTTTAATGTTTAGAATGAATAATCAAGATAACTTAATAATAACAAAACTAAATAAGTTACAACGAACAATACTATACAAAAAAAAAACAACAAATACACTATACTGTATAGAATCATTTAAAAATGTTTTTCAATTTTTAAGCTATAGTAATAAATATATTTAAATGAATTTTTTAAGATATTTCAGGGCATTAGAATCTTAGCCCTAATAATCATAAATAAGAATCAAAAATATATTTTTGGGGTGTAAGCTAGTCCACCTCCTAGTGGTGCACCCTAACTTTAAATGAACTGGGACGCACTCGCGCCACTCGGAACATAAAAAAAGATCATTTCGGGATATATTCGGAAACTCCTTTTACAAAGAAGACGTCAACTGTCATACTACGATTACTACGCTAAAAATATAAGTATCATATGTATGATTACTTATCGTGGTTCGTGTTTATAAATACTCACATTTAAATTAATTACACGATGGTTAAATTAAAATACCAGTGAGTGAAAACAACATATTTTGAAAGTATTTTAGGTGTATCGCAAATTATAATTATTAATTATTAATAATAAAATGCGCTTTACCTTAATCGGAAACCACCATTTTTTTTTATAATCAATATTTTAAAATTTTAGATTCTGAGTGGAGGAGTAATGTATGTATTAATTTTACAATGTGCGTTTTTTTTTTTTTTTATGTACACATAATACATGTTAAGTAAAAATACTAAGTACTTCAATCTTCTTCTTTGAAGTTGGTTTTCGATAGTAAATTCAATCTATTTGTAGTTTATAGAACAAACAATTAAAAATTCTTATTATTTTTTCGCAAAATCAGTATTTGACAAAATCAATTTTGTTTATTTAATGTAAATTAAAACTGAATAACTGTAGATACTTGGAATTTTCACAAAATATTTAAATTATTATTTTCTATTTATATTTAAAAAAAAAAAAAATAATCAACTTAGTGTATTACTATTGGTAAAATAAATTACAAGTATCAATATTAATATATAATAAAATTTACTAAGAAATATAGGCTAACAGACTGTCTTCTCTCAGAATCATATTTTATATGCAATGATTCTTCATTGAATTTAAATTTACCACATTTAGTACACTGAAGACATACATTTAATACCTACTGTACCTATGGCAAAACATTTTCTACTCTCCTTCTTTATTAACTGTTTAAATTTAATAAAATGTAAAATGAGAAAATAATTCCTCTGGTTCTGGTTAATTGTCTATAAGTAATATTTCATGAATTAAAATTATTTAAAATGTTTCATATAGTCACAACTATAGGCATAAAATAACTTCTTATTAAAATATAATCAATAGGTTATAAACAAATTTAAAAAAAAAGTATTTAAACATTTGTAATCATTGCTAATATTTTTTTATACTTAAATTTAAGTAGGTATACAAGAGTTTGAAAAAGAATTTAATATTATAGCATATATAAACAAAGGTATTTAAATACCAGTACTAAAAAACTTTTATTACCTACTTTAGTATTTTCTAAAAGGATTTTAAAATTTAGTTCATTTTTATAATCATATTGATAACACAGTGCTTTTAATCAATATAATAGAACTTACTAATTTATAATTCTAGTAAGTTCAAGATGAAAGGTAATAAATAAATTAACATTATTTTATAGTTCATACTGTTTATTTTAACAAGGGAGACAAATATTTTTAATAATCTAATATTAAAAATACTTTGTATAAAACTAATATGGTTTTGAAGAATGATTTTTCAGGCTTACTTTTGGTAATTCTTTTAATGTGCATTTACCAGTATAATCAGCTGAGTTATTTTCATCATCAGCTGGAACCCATACATTTAGTATACCAGCTTCACCACCAGTAACCAGTATACCACACTGCAATGAAAATAACACACACACACACACATATATATATATTAATAAAACTAGTACAATTTTTAAATGTTATGTGTAAAAATTACTAACAAAATAACAAATATAAAAAACTTATTATGAAAAAGGCTGTGTGCCATAAATTATCTTCACAAGTTAATAAAATATCCTTATCAAAGTTTGTTTAAGATCAATAATTATACTTATGCCAGGTTGTACATAAAATTGATTAATACAATGGTTAAACAAAATTTAATAGAAAAATCATGGGTTAATAAATCATATTTAAGGTACCATTAGCTAACTATTGAATAATTTTATATATTTTAGTTATCATTCATACAATTTGCTATAAAAGTAGATTATTTCAATTCACTTTTTATTTATGTTTATTGTAGTATTCACAGCAGAACACTGTAGCTAAAATTGATTAAAAAGGGGGTATCATCAGTTAAAATGTTAGGGAACTGCTGGTCTACACTCTATATTCTATAATAATGGAAAGAATGCACTTGTCAAGATAGGCTAGATCACTGGGTAGAACACGATTGCGTACGTTTGTCCTTTTTGGCAACACGATTGCGTATGAAATTGTATGCAACGTTGTCAATTTTAATTTTTTCATCGTATTAATAAATAATATAATATAAAATAATAATAATATAAAAAATATTGAATAAATTTAAAGTTCTAAAATAATTAATAAAAAAAGTTAATGGTAAAAAAGTAATTAATAAATAAGTAAGATTAAATTTCGATTCCTTGACATCTATAGCCTACTACTTTTAAATATTGAGTTACATTTTTTTGGATTTTTTTATACTCATCATAATCCTTTATGGTGCTTTGGATTCTGTTTAAGTCTTTTTTTGCCATTTTCTTCACTCTCCCATTATTAACCGATTGTATAATCGCTCTGGTTTAGAAATATCTATATAATATTATCTCTGTAATTGTACGACGTTACATCAGCGTAATCGACCTATTTACTTAATCTAAGGATTTACAATTTACTTGATAATTCGATTGACAAAAATATAATTTCAAATATAAGACAGATTTTAGAAAAATAAAATGTTTAATTTGACTTCTCTGTATCATGAAACACATTTTTAGTTTACTCTGCTATTTTTTAAGCATCTCATAAGAAATATACAAATGCTATAAAATCCCAACCCTGGTCATATATACCGGTATGAAAATTGGCAACAGCGCTTAAAATTTCGTACGCAATCGTTTAGTTAAAAATCAGGTAAAATCGTACGCAATCGTGTACCTAAAAAAGGTATCGCCGATAATGAACGTACGCAATCGTGTTTTACCCAGATCACTGAATACAAGTTAACACAGTTCTTGCAATGTGATGTTATGAGCAATTCCTGTCTATTATAGGTCTAGAGATAAATATAACTAATATTTAGTACTATTATATTTGATATCATTAAAATTATAATTAATTGAAAATTTCAAGATGTAATGATAATAACTTAATCATAATAATCTATATTCGAGCTATCAAATATTGAAATAGATAATAATTTAACTTACATTATACTCATACCAACTGCATCTAACAATTTGTTTATTATTTTTGAATAAGCTTCTAGGTGACAATTCAGGACCATCATTTATTATACCAAGCGACTGCAAATGTTCTCTAAACATAAAAAAATTGATATTAAATAACATCATATAATTATGTGTAGTATAAAGTATATCTTTTTTACCCTTTGCTATTGTCATTTCCAACAAGCAACATAATATTTCCATTTACATCTGTTTGATGACAATTTATTATTTGACTAAATAAATCAGGTTTTACCTAATAATAATAAATTAATCATTGATTTAAGAAGCTTGAAATTGGAAGCAAAATTGTAAACTTACATTCATTGAACTACTAATTGTATCTCTAGGAATAATACTATATGGAGAAGAATCTGTAGTATGCCATAATTGTACATCCTCTGTATGTGTAATACAAGATATGATTGAATCCTCATTTTTATTTTTAAACCAGTTTAATTTTGCCTTAAAAAAGTGTTAATGTATTAAGTGATTAAATTATATACATAATCAATGTTGAAAATTTATAAAAATGTCTAGTATTTCAGATGTACCAACTTGCAGAATATTTTCAATTTCACTAAACACTCTAAAAAAATAAAATAATATAGATATTGAAAAATTACTTATTTGACTCACAATAGAAGAATTTGTATTTAAACTTAATTGAAGAGCATCTTGTTCAGTGGTTTGAGTAACATCAAATAAGTTGATAATACCATCAGTAGATCCACTAATTACAGTTTTGTCTTCAGTAGGATGAAATTTCACCTAAAAAAATAAACAATTAAAAAGGATATTTCTGGTATAATCTTGTACTCATATATATAATGCTATATTAATTGCTAAAAAAAAACAATACATCAACAAGTGTTCTCTCTTTTTCATCAAACATTAAACAAATAAAAATGTGTATTTATAGAATCAATTATTGTTATTAGCTTTATTATTAAAGTATAATAAAAGTAATATAAGTATTATTTAAGTTTATTTTTACCTACCATTAAATTTAAATTAAAGAGTAAGAACATCTATACTTAAGTTTTGACTTTTTTTTATATGAAGACAAAAGTCTGACCCACATCCCATAAAAGGTATATTAAGGTATCCCTTAAGGCAGCATCCTTTCCCCAACTTTATACTTTATATAAAACAGACCTACCTTAATCTATTAAGACTACTCTAGCAACTTTCATCAATGATATAGCCATAATTTAAACTAACTCAAAATTAGCCATCGCTATAAACTACCTTTAAGACTACCTTATTCTAATATACAAGATTGGTTCAGTTTATGGAAAATTAAAATTAATGAAAACAAATTCACTCACATCACTTTAACTCACAGACCTAAAAATACTTTTCTTGTTTATATAAATAAACAAATAATCCCAATGGAAAATTTTGTTAAATGCTTAGGTCTCCTCTTTGACAAAATATTAACTTGAGTTGATCACATCATCAAAAAAAAACTTCAATTAACCTCAGGCTTCACTTATTAAAACCACTTCTCCGATTCAAAACCTTTCTCAATAATAAAACATTAATCTATAAACAAATATTACATCCCGCAACAACATATAGCATTCAATCACAGGAACCTCAAAAAACTTAAACCAAATCAAATTACAAGTATACCAATCAATAACTCTTTGTATCCTATTTAATGCGCCTAGGTATTTTAGTAATTGCACTCTACATCATGAATTTAACTTACCAGCAATTATCACAAAAAAAATTTCATAAAAACACCTTTACACACTAACCCCCTCATATCTAAATTCTCTACTTGCACAATATTTGGCAATCCTCTTAATAGTCTCAAATGTAAATGGTCAAGTGATTTACTAAATAATACTTAATACTTACACTGCCTAGTATTTATAACAACTTACCCTCTCTCACCACTAAGTTCATAAATTGGAAGTAGAATCAATGAACACTTCCTTCCCGCATGCTTGCCACGTATAATTTAGTATATACATCATCATATTTACTCATTGTATTATTATGTGCATAGTACACTCTGTACATGGATTGTAAATGTCTTTTATAATAGAAAAAATAAATTTAGACTTTTTTTTTGATATTTTGAATTTCAACTTATAATATTAACAACACTCACATCTTACTTAAAAATTGTAAGTACCAAAAAAGTCAATAATTAAGCACAAATAATGTTCTAATCTTTAAACTTAATGGTAGGTCAATTCACTTCAATATTAAAACTAACACACAATTGGTGCTTCTGAATTCAAATTTGTTAAGTATATTGGATGTTTGTAAAATGGAGATGACACAGGCTGGTGAAGCGCTTTCTTAACAAATATGCAACTCAACTAAAAAACAGATTTTAAAATGTCATCTTTAACTGCAATTTTTATCTATCGAGGATTAAGTTTCCTGAAAATCTATTCTGATAACAACTTAAACTTAATTTTATTCAATTTTTGTTACCATAAAAAAAAATTAAACTGCTAAATAAAATGTTTAAAAAATTTCTATTAATATATATTTTTTTAAATTGAGTTCGGTGAGATGAGAGAACACTAAAAATAACATATAAATAAAACATTTTAAACTATTAATATAAAATGCAAGAAATATAGTTATAATACAAAAAAATATTTAAGATATCAGTATGCATTATTCCATTATGTATATCTTTAAATATGTGCACTCAAAAATTAAAATATATTAGTTTGAACACTATGACCTCTTTCAAAAAAAAGTACATATGGGCACAATATTGTTGATATGGGTGATATGATAATGAATACAGCATATATGACTTCAACTACTACGATAGCTACCCACCAGCAATTACAATTCCAAAAATGTATTATTAAGTATAATTTTCAAAACCTGATAAGTCTTCCTAAAAATGATTATAAATTAGAAAACTACTAAACTTTGTTTGGTGCCACCAAAGAAAACTATTTTTATATTCCATTCCTTAATAATATATTACTGTATAGAGCTTATACATACATACACAACATAATATTCACCTGTGTAATATCTTCTTGGTGAGTATCCCAATAACCTCCAAGTAGGTTAGTAGTACGAATATCCCAAAATAATAAGAAAGCATCATCTTTAAACACTTCTGTTCCAGCGACTAAGAATCTTCCATCACAAGATACATCAAAACATGACAATGGTTTTAATTCAGCATCTGTATCATCTAAAATGAATAACTTAAAATATATAAAATATATGCTAATATTTTTCAGTCTTTTACCTTTAAAAACTGAAACACATTTTTCCTTCATGCGTAAATCCCAAAGTTTAATAGTTCCATCCTCAGACCCTGTGTAAATAATGGAAGAAAAAGATTGAGTACAGCTTGAACCTAATCTGAAAAAGAAAAAAATAATAAGTTGAATGTTGGTCATAAATTTACAAATAATTGACAATTATAATTTTACTTGACATCAACAATTTTTTTTTCATGCTCAAAACATGCTTTAATAGACGAATGCCCATCATCAATATCATAGATATTACAAGTAAAATTGGAGAGTGCTGTTGCTACTTTTAGTGTCTGTCCACTAAAAAAAAAATTCAGATAAATAGTATAAGTTCTTACATTTTTTATAGTAAAAATATGAATATATGATAGTTAAATACATTTTATGTGCATCCAAATTCAAAATATAAACATCATTTGAACTGAGGACTTCTTCAAAATCTTGTTTGTATTTAATTTTATAATTTATTTCTTTAGAGCTATCAAATACTGGTTGTTCATTAATGTCAATAACATCATCTTCTTCCAAACTGTCATTTTCATTAAAACTTGAATTACCTGAAGTTTCTTCGTTTTCTGAACTCGAATCTGACGAATCTAAGTTTAAAAAAAAAATAGCATTTAATAGATTTGATTTACAACGTATTTACAAAAACATAGTGATATATTCTTACTAACCTGTATCTGTTATAAAATTTAAAGTCATTGTAAAAATGAAAAACTATAGGTACTAAGTATAATTAAAAAGTAATAAGTTGATTTGTTCACTAAAATATAAAAATGATTGTTATGTCTTAGAGTATTAAAATAATTTAAATAATACGCGCGTCACGTGATGTAGACGATGTACTCGATGTAATAGTGTAGTACCGTACTACTGTGAATTATACTAAATTTAGTAAATTACTAATACTATTATTGTATAATAATGATATTATTTAATATTTTGTAATTTAAAATTTGAAATTGATAAGCATTACACTTTGAAAACCACGTGTGTTTACCCCGACCACCCCCGACTATGATGTTCACTGTTATTGTTCGACATATTATCACTGAATATTATTACCAATATTACGGATCACGATTAAAGACCTAACCGTGCTACGGATGATCATATAATTTTAAAAGTGATGCGAAAACGGAAAAAACGGAGCACTCTCAGTGTGACCTTAATATGAAATATAAATTACTATTTAGTGTAAATTGTACATTATTTTTGAATTTTTTTTATGTTTATCATCTGTTTGTATACGTTGGCAGTAAAACTACAATTTAAATTGAGATCGACCGCGGTTAATAAAATAGATTGATGGCATCGTACTACAGAATTAATAAATCGTACCAATGTACCATCTCAACATATTCTGATTCTCCTCTCCACCGTTGATGTCGTGCGGCATTGTTGCAGTGGCGCTCATCAGTACTGAATACAATTATATAGTATTATAAATGTATACATTTACTTAACTTAAACGCCTACCGGGAAAAGATTACTAATGCTAGTACCATTGACTATAGAATAGACTATTCTATAAATATTTCTATTATCAATGGTGCTACTATAGTATACAATACACGTGTCACATCGATAAAAATTAACTGCCCTTATATTAGCGTTTTATAGTTTATAGATAGATGTGACAAAAAGGCTCACTAAAATCGTAACGCATTCTGATTACAGCTATCAATGTAATTATTTAGATCTATCCATATACGAATTCAATTATAAGTCATAACTATTAATTAATCTGTTGGCTGTTTATCTTAAACAGTGGTTAATAATAATTAATAATGATACAATATTATATCCATTCTGTGGTTGAATGGTAAAAATGTAATTTACTCTATAGTGTCAAATAAAATAATAAGAGTTATTCGACAGTCAAGAAAAAATAAATAATAATTAGTGTTTGTTGTTAAAGTTAATATTTTAAAGTTTTTTAGTCATTTGATTTTATAGCTTTGAATTTGCCGCCATAAAAAATGAGCCAATCAAAGCAGCTCTATTCACAGTTCTAACAGGTATGTTGCGGTGCTGACTGCTGTCGTCTGTCGGAATAAATGTATGTAATATGACGTATTAAACCATTAAATTAAATTAATATTGAATAGTTACGGACGTTACGGTTAAGTTATCTACTACCGTGAATTAAGATGTACAATGTACATTAATCACAATGTCTTTAATCATTATTATTATTATGTTATTTGATACTTATCTTAAGATTTAAATCTTCTCTGCTAGTACAATTGCTGCTATATAAGCTGGTTGCCTTTAATTGGCTACCTAGTACCTACTGATCTGCTGATGACGACAGTAAGTTAATACTGTACTACTCTGTTACCGTTTCAAGTATTGACTTACAACTATTAAGTTTAATGTTCAGTGCTTTTTTAGTTTTTCATATTATTTTTATGATAACTAATGTCCCATTTCCTTAAACACAGCATTAAATTAATTTTTTTTATTAATTATTCAATTGAGCATAGACCTATATTAAGTTTGCCTACATTAGACATTACATAATTTATAGGTCAATGTCCCCTCTCCATAAAATATCTTAATTTAGTAAATTTATTTAATTCATTCATAATTCAAACATTTAACCATCTAGTTTATTCATTGGATTTTTTCATACATTAGTTGCTATTAATTATTAAGTATTAAATTATATCACTATTTTTACTGTTGAATTAATTAAAATATTATTATTAAGGTTGAATGAAGTCATGCATCTTATATTTAATTCAAAGACAAATAAACAATTATAAAAAAAATAAATATTCTGTCATTCTTTCTTGATCGAAGGCTGCTAACAAATAATTAATTCATTTCATATTATTTATACCTAACATACTATTTTTAACATTTTAGAACGAGTATAGAAGTTTCATATTGTTATATTTTAGTAATTTGCTAAAATAATTGTGTTATTAAATCAATATGCCATTAAAAGGATTAAACGTCTTAGAATTTTCTGGATTGGCTCCAGTACCTTTTGTTGGAACTATATTATCAGATTTTGGAGCAAATGTGACTGTTATCCAAAAAGTGAGTATACAATAGTAGGTAATGTTATTTTATTATCCCAAGAAAAAATGTATACTAATAATTAAGTAGGTACTTTAATATTTGAAAAACTATATTTATTTGTTTTGTAGAGAAATGCTATTCTTCAATTTACAAACTTTTTAAATAATGGTAAAAAGTCTATATGTGTCAATTTAAAACAACCAGAAGGTGTTGAAATTATACATAGATTAATCACTGATTTTGACATTATACTTGAACCGTATAGACCTGGTAAGAACGATTAATTAGTCTTTGCTACACATCTAAAATAATAAAATGATATATTAAACAATTTTAAAACATTACTATACATAAGGTATAATGGAAAAACTGGGATTAGGCCCTAATTTAATGATGTCAAAAAATCCACGTTTAATATATGCTCGATTGAATGGATATGGTTCATATGGGCAATATGCACAAAGAGCTGGTCATGATATAAATTATTTAGCTATGTCAGGTTGTTTTAAATTTTTAAAACTTAATAATTAACACACTTTATTATTATTTTAATAATAATTTCTTTTAATTTTTAAAATTTAAAGGTTTGTTGTCATTGTATGGTTCAAAAAATAAACCTGTTCCTCCTGTTAATTTTTCTGAATTTGCTGGTGGTAGTATGGTATGTGTAATGGGAATTTTAATGGCAGTCATAGAAAGATACAAAAGTGGAAAAGGTCAAATTGTTGACACTAACATAACTGAAGGTATTTCTTATGTAGGAAGTTGGTTGTTATCTTCACAAGATTCAATGATTTGGAAAAAACCAAAAGGACAGAATTTGTTCGTATACTTTTTGAAATTAAATTTATGATTATACTACTATGATCAGTATTGTATTCTTTAATTTTAATCAGACTGGATGGAGGAATGCACTTCTATGATACATATGAAACCAAAGATGGTAAATGGATGGCTGTCGGTGCAATAGAACCAGAATTTTATGAAGTGTTCATCAAAGAACTAGGATTGAACATTGATGATATTGAACAACTTGATAATTTTGAAAATAATAGAAAAATTATTGCAAACAAATTTAAAGAGAAAACACGAGAAGAATGGTGTAATGTAAGTGATATATTTTTAGATTTTATTAAACTTTAATTAATAAAAAATCTTATTGACTTTAGATTTTTGATTTGAAAGATGCTTGTGTTACTCCTGTGTTAGAATTAGACGAGGTTGACCAGCATCCTCATAACGCAAGTAGAAATTCATTTATGAGGAAAGATAATGTTGTGTTGCCTGTTCCAGCACCAAAACTAAGTGCTACTCCTGGAGTTTCAAGTTTTAGTAAACCGATTCCAACTTGTGGACAGAATACTAAGGAAATACTTGAAAGTATTGGATATACACAAATGGAAATCAGCAAATTATTTCAAAATAAGACTGTATTTGAAGAATTAAAATCCCAGTTATAATTTGGTATTTTAGTTTTTACAAAAAAGTAGCTTTTGTTATCTTGTATTTAGCATTAAACAGTTTTATTTTTTGAGATTGTTCAATCACGTTTTGTTTTGTTTTAATACAAAAAATAAAAAAGTTATTATTTTTAATACAAACATTTTTGGTTGTATAACCATCTTATATATTTATATTCATTTGTAAAGTAATTATTATTATCTGGAACAAATTTTTGATCTGTCCTGTTTCTGAAATTCTCCAACTCTTTTTTATTTTTCCATACACCTAATAATAAAAAAATAATTTAAGAGTACATTTAAATATAAATATAACTTGTTTTAATATTATATTAACAATGCAAAAATAAATCCACTTGTGCACACCTGAAGACAACCCAGCCATAAAAGCTGCACCTAAACATGATACTTCAGTTTTGTTATTGTTTTTCATTCTTACAACTGTAGTTGATGTCACATTAGCAATTGTTTGACAAATGTAATCATTTCGAGATACACCACCGTCAACCCTATATTAAAATTTTAAATGAGTTATTACATTTATACGTATTATAAATATTTATTGATTATGTAAATAATATATATATATACTCCTTTCCAATATTAAATAATAATAAGTTATTTAACTATTTTATTATTAATTAAAGAAATATTACCATAAAGTATTCAATTTCATTTGAGGCATTTCATTGTGATAATTATCTAGTATTTTTTTAATTCTAAATGCAAAAGATTCCAAAATAGATATAGCCATGTCGGATTTTGTAGTACATGTAGTAACACCAATAAAACTATAATCTCTCCTTATTGATTTGGATGGCTAAAAAATAATTTTTGTTATTTAGTTACGATATTTTTGTGTTAAATTATAGAACCACTAAAACACCTCAGATTCAGGTAATACAAATAATAAACTATTAGTTGAAAATTCATTTCCTTGCTTCAACATATTTAATTCTTTTGGATTATTGAAGCCACCTAAATTTAATATGAAAAATATAAATTTATTTTATACATATTATTTATTAGAATTTCTTAAATACACATTTTACCAATGGATTTCGCAAGTTGAATTAATGATCCACTATTGTAATCGACTGCTTCCAATGAAAAACAAATATCTTCATTAAATATCCAACCCACCAATGGAAAATATCCTATTATTAAAAATATGTATAACATTAGTTACATATTAAATATGCAAAATAAATGTTAATTGATTTTTACATATTTCCAGATAATTAATTTTCAAGTTAACATAAAATTTATTAAAAATATTAAATATTGATGAAAAAAAATGTAATAATAATAATAAATATATATATTTTATCTGACCTAAACATACTTCCGGTAATGGACCACAATTTATATCTAGAAACATTCCTGTCCCCATTGTAACTTTGGCTGTATATTTTGAGAAAGAACCTGTTCCGTACAGTGATGCTGATTGGTCAGCAAGCTATATTATCATAAAATGAGTCTTCTTATTAATAATTAAGAAATATTAATTTATTATTAGATGGTTTAATAATTATACAGAAAGGTTAACTCACCGAGCATGCAATTGTAATATTGGAGATTTTGCAAGTTATATTGTTATCCATTAAATGCTTTAATATGTTTGAATCACAAATACTTGGAAGTATAGTATTTGTGATTCCGAAATATTGAAACATGAGATTAGGCATCCAAGACATAGCAAACAAGTTAAACAATCCAGTAGCACTAGCGCATGATACGTCAGTCACATGTAGTTTACCATTGCTAGCTTGATATAACAACCAAGTATCTAATGTACCAAATTTTACGTCATTATTTTTCATATCTTGTCTGAATTTCCGATTATTTTGTAATAACCATAAAAGTTTAGGCAAAATCTTTAAACAATAACCATAGATTATTCAATGTATAATGTACATAAAAATATAACATTAAATTATAATACTTGTATGTTTGAAAATGTAAATGACTTTGCAACTTTGAGTTGTTTTGATGCAAATATTAAATATAATATTTTTGAAATATATTTGACTATCTAAAAATTATGAAAATATAAATTGAATCAATAACCATTGTTTACTTTTCATTTTTTTTTTTTTAACTTAAATGAATGTTCAATTGTATACATCTATTTAGTATTTAGTATATAAATAGTACTTACTTTGAAGGTTATTGATTTATTTAATTCTTTAACTATTTTATTTGAGCGTGAATCTCCCCATGTAATAAAATTATGATAATGTTCACCAGTTTTTTTATTCCAAGTGATGAATGTATTTCGTTGTGTAGATAAACCAATGCTTTTTATATTATTGGATTTGAGATCAGCATCTATTAAAAAATCAAACAAAATATGATTATTTTTATATACATTTATTTAATATTTATGTTCTTCTATTATAATCATATTATAAACAGAGGAATAATACTTCAAACTAATGATTTAAAACTTTAACAGTTATTATAGTATTTTAATTTCAACATTTTTTTCCTCCATTATTTTATAGTAATTATTGATTTATTATATAAATTGAAAAATTATAGGTTATTTACTTATTTAACAATGAAAAAAGATAAAATATGTATATAATTAGTTTAAAAAAAAAAAATATTTACTTTTTTGTTAATCATTTGTTACTGAAGAGTGAAAAATTAACTGGTAATACATATTTTGTAGCTGTAATTATTTAAATCAATGTATTTATAAGATGCATTAATGCCATCTTAAAATAGGAACTTAGTTAAACTAATTTACAGTTAATATTAATAATGATGGTTAAAAATATTTAATTAAAAAAGTTTATTATAAAATAAAAATCAAGCTGTTACTAAAAATGAAATTTTAATAATTATAATATTATTTATTAGTTATAAGTTATAACTAATAAGTAAAACCTTTTAATGCATTTTGTAAGACTTGTTTTACACCATTTTGTAGTTCATTTGGATTAATTTCTTCCCATCCTTGAAAAGGTTTTAGTATATTAATCTGAAAAAAATTAAAATCCATATTATTAGTTCTACACATTACAGAACAAAACTAACATTTTTAGTGTTTGTCTCAAATTAATATTGCAAAGCAAATTATGAATATTTACATAATAATTTATGAATAATAAGAATATAATACATAGATAATTCGAGTAAATATTTTTTACTAACATTTTTGTGTTAAAAAATTCATAACCCCATAACCTCTATATATGTATATGTAAGAATTGATAATAGGTAAGTGTAGAACATTTGAATTATATTAATAACTTATTGTATGGTAAGATTAAAATATATAATACAGCATTATATTTATACCCAACCTTTAAAATATTACATTATAGTATACATAACACACTTTATATTAAATTTATAAATAATAAAAATATTTTTGATTTTAATTTTACATTTGTTTGAATAACTGATTAAATTATTTTGGCAAGAATCAAATTTTAAGATAATTCTTTTTTATTATTTAAATATATATATTATATAATAGAAATAAAAATTTTATGTATTAAAAAAACATAAAATGTATAAACTATATTGGCACCCACACATCTCAAAACTTAAAACTTAAAACTAAAGTTTGTAACAAGTATAATGTATTATTTTTTAATGACTTGATATGCATATATTTACTCATTTAATAACATACATATTCACATATGATATTACCTATACATATTATAAACATATATATATTTTAAATTTTTATCTATAGAAATAAATAAAATATTTTATATTATTTAAAATTTAGTAATCTGTGCAATACACAATCAAAATTCTACATCATAAATATAAAACATAATACATACTTTTTGTATAGAAGATCCCATAACACGAAAGTCTGGTGAAAAAATTTGGCATTTCAAATTAGTTGTACCTACGTCAATAGCAGCAATAAAATCCATGATTTTGATTACTTTAATGATGGCCTCTTATACCTATTAAAATAAAAAAAAAATAAATTAAAAGTATTATTTTTAAATACATTTAAAAAAAAAAATTATTGAACAATTGAATAACATACATAAAATATTATTCTGTTATACATAATGGAAAACTTTTAATTAATACATATTGCGGTATTAAAATCAATAGAATAGGTACTGTCTTAATATAAATTATATAGTCTTTAGATTTCACTATAGTAATATGATTTAGGTAATTACATGTAAAAATTGAATAAAGTTAACACAGAATTTTCACTTTTTATTTCAAAGTCTGGGGGAATAGAATTAATTATTATTATTTATATCCCTATACCAAATATAATTAAACATTATAAATTTATAGAGCTATTTCTTAAATATGTGCATACTTATATTGAACCCATATTCATTAAATTTAATTAATTATGCAAAGTCTAATAATTATTCCTTTTTAAATTGTGCAAAAAATTATTTATACTAAATGATATTATATCATTACATTATATTCTTTACTTCTTAAAAATAATAAAATTGTTATATTATTTCAACAAGTTTTATTGAATATAAGTATGTTCTTCGTATCGTTTAATCTTTTATAATTATTTTTATAAAACAAAAAAATAATATTACCTATCTAAAATAGGGCAAAGTAACAATATCTAAATTGATTTACAAATAAATTATTATTTCGTACTTTTTGATTGCATCATCATTAATCATATTATTGTGATGTATTACTGTATCTAAGTAAATATTATTCCCGTCAACGATAAATCTCGTAAACCTTTATACAAGGTAATTATTATAATTATTCAAAAATACAAAATATAAAATTTCATGATATTTTTAACCTACGATTAATGAATTATTACCACTGACAGCAAGTTAATTATTATTCTGGTAACTTATTATTTATTGAGATAGGTACCTATATTGATTGTTTGGTAAGCCAATTCAATTGATGATCACTTATTTACAAATGCAGCATCTTTTTGAATATACAAAAATCATTCACCACCATTAAATTTTTTGTTTGTTATTTTAAAATGATAATAGATATAAGTGAACGGATACGTGCATGATATAGAATATAATAATATGCCTTTAATTATTTGAAATATAAAATATAATTTAAATATAGTTACTTAATAATTAAATACAAAATAATATAATTTAAACAGGTACTGAATAATTAAACATAAAATATTACCAACTATATATTTTATAAACTATGTTAAGTAATCAACGAGCTTTAAAGTTCAGAGTGTGAGTTTAAAAACTTTATTAAATACGTATTTGTATTTTGTTTTGAAAATTTAAATCTCCTAACGTTTGGTCGTTTTGGCAGAGAACTTTCCAGAGCAAATTGTATGAACTATGAAATATTGTCAAACATGCGTAATGTTTTTAAAAATTATTTTTTTTTCAAGAAATTTAATTGAATTATGTGATAAATAACTAAGAAACAAATACATCTGTTCCAGAATAAAGAATTTTTTCCACTGGGAGAATTTAGACTTTTTAAATTAAAGTTTAATTAGCTTACACATTTTATACAAAGTAGTTTATTTTTTTTTCTTAATTTATCACTGGCACCATTATGTATGAGATGTTTAAAACTTCCGTGATTTGTTTAAATTTTTGTTTTAGAAAATAAATTGTAAAAAGTCCAAGGACTAGGATCATAATATAATGCTGGTAACAGCAAAATTAAGAAAATTATGTGCGCCAATTATTTGTGTCTTTATCTCCTACACGGAATTCTGAAAATACAAATAGTAATAAGCTAGGCTTCAGGCTAAAATTAGATTTGATTGACCTATAATTAAAATTAAAGAGAACGTTAGTATTTATAAAGACCTAATACTTCTGGAATTATATAGTTTAAATCAATTTAATGCCCATTCTATAATCAAATTTTAACGAAATGAAATATTTTTTCTTTTACTATTATATTTATTGTAACGAAAGGTAACATTATAAAAACATTTTGTGTATATTCAAATATTAATTTAAATCCACAATAGGTACCGTCTATAAAATGTATAATAAAAATAACCATGCCCTAACATTATTCATTATACACGGAGCATTATGCAATTTTATTATGTATAGCATTAGGATACACGGACAATAAAATGTCCATTTAGTGAATCCTCTTTCGAGATGAAAGATAATTGTTTATCAACTGGCTATTTAAATACAATATACATCGTATTTCATTAAACATTATGTACCACAGAATAATTTAATTTATTTTCTGATTAAACTAAATATATTGTGTTTTTTTCCATTTGCCGTTTTAATTCAAAACTGAAACACTGCTTTATTATGCTTAGATACTGCAGTATATGTATGTTGAATAAGCTTTGTAATAATATACCTTTACAAGCTTGTAGGTAACCAATACAATTCTAAGATTTTCGAGTGCTGAATGTACTATGAAGAGTTAGTGGATACTATTTATGCTTCTATAGAATTTTATTTGTACTTGCAAGGTGCTATTGGTGCTAAGCATTATCACAAATTAGGTGGAGACTTGGTTACCTCTCACAAACACTTTTATAACAAACAAAATGAATTAAAATATCCTGGGGGAGGGGGAGTGACCGACCAGCGTCACGTGTCTAGGAGAAAAAAAAACTTTAAAAAGGTAAGGTCTAATTATTTTATGTTTTTACTTTTTAGTTATGAGTGATTTAATTTTTTTAGCAGAACCGGACCTATTACATGATTATTATGACGCATCTTCAAAATTTTTCAACTTTTTTAACGCAATTGTATTGTGGCTATTGTGCTATCAATTAACATACCTATATAATTAAACTAGAATTGTAAAAATTATTTTTATTAAATTAAAAAAAGAATTTTTTTTTTGAAAACATGGTATTTTTGAAAGTAAATTGTATAATCACAATTTTCATTTTTATATTATTATACTATTGATTAATACTAAGAATACCATAAAAGTTATATTTGTCCTTAATTTCTTCCATAATTTTCGAGTAATACCCTGCTAAGCGCGATTAGCTAAAGATTCTAAGAATCATTTTTCGGTTTATTTACGGGTTAAACAGGATAAAATTAGTTCATAATATTGTTAGTTATGATGTATTAATATCAAAGTTTTTTTTGAATAGTAGTTCGTTAAATTTTAGTTGTCTGTATGGGTTCATAGGTTTTGTTGAAATTTTTCATAATAATATTTAAATAAATAACCCTTTAAACCTATTATAACTTTTTACAAATTGATTTATAGTGTATTCAGTTATTTACAAAAATAAAATAAGAATGAGAAATTAAATTGAAAAAGTATGGTTAAAAAAAGATAATATATAATATTATTGAACTTAAAATTAAATATTTTATCTGTATTTGTTCAATGGATTTATAAGATTTAACAATATTTATGTTTAGTAGTGGGAAAGTATTCAAGCTTTAGAGACGTATAATATACTTTAATGGTAAGCCAACGAGGTCACGCGAAAAGTCGAAAATACCTAGTCAACTGGTAAAATTTTTCTAGTATTATAGGTAATACAAAATTATATAAATTGTATCATAAATGAAATACAGAATAATATTTACTTAAGTATTAATTATTACTTATTAGTAATAATTACTTATAAGTACTAACTTTTATTGTTCTAAATTTATGTCTTCTTGGTACTCATTAAATTATTTTTGAAGATTAAAATAAATTGGATTTATCAACCTTAATTGGTGATATATTATGACGTTGGTACTTATTTACATTTATAACATTATAAGTAATTCAATGGTAATTTGTTTTATTTTTAATTAATATTAATTTTATATTTTGCTTTAATATATTGACATATAAAACTATTGAATTTTATAGAATGACATTAATTAATCATCGAAATTTAAAAGCTGATAAACCAAACTTCAAATTAAAAAAATAAATATAGAAAATCATCCTATTCCAACATTTACTAGGTACACCACCTCCATCTCGAAGAAGCGGAAATGAAGCCTCCAGTTCAAGCTCAAATGAAAGACTGTCATATGCCGAAATCACAGCCAACAAACCGATCAATCTCTATTCTCTACACATTATCACCAAATTCCTCGATGAACTAAAATCTATACTTAACCCCCTTCTTACTACTTTAACATTCCTAATAAACAATATCACACTCCCCATCGCTTCTCCATAACACACACTACATATTCCGTACATTCATAATACGAACACGATATAATATATTATATTATATTTATAAATTGTAATTAATAACTAACTTGTAACATGTAATATGTTGATAAATTTTAGTTTTAATAAATGAAAAAAAAAAGCTGATACAATATTTATTAGTATATAAAATTTTAAGAAACTTCTGCCCTTGGCAGTAGTGGATCCAGGATTTAATTTTAGGGGGTCCATAGTCTAAAATGCAGTGATAATTTAAGGGAGTTATTTATGCTTTTTAGTTTTTAATATTGAATTAATAAAATCTAATTTAGGCCAAACGAGAGAAAGTGCGAAGCCCCTAGGTCCTCCTTACATTGCTACTGGCCCTTCGTGATGATTATTAATAACCCGTAAAATCAAGTATCGATCCTAAAGGAGATATATTATAATACAACCTTAAAATCATATTTCATGCATCGTTGGATAACTGTTATAATTATTAATAACAGAGTTTACAGAATACAGATTATTTTTGTAGTTGTTGCGTTTTTTTTTTAATCTTGGATTTATATCCAGATCCAGAGTAAAATGCACATAAAACGTCCTACGGGAAGATATATTTGTATGTAGGTATATAATTTGTGATGTAAAATATATATTATCATAAGAAGTAAATAAAAAAGTTAAAAATCGAAGTATTCATTAAAATATGTAAAAACAGGTATCAGATGGAAGGGGTGGCCGTTTATCATACAACAACAATTCGAAATTGTATGTTTGTTTTAACAAAATCAATGATCAATACCTAGAATAATATCTTGAGTCTTGACCTAGAATAGTCACACAAATGCACCGACAGTAACGTCGTAACGGAGATTTACCTACTTCTGTGTGCAATATTTAATAACTAAGAATATCAAATCTGTTTCAGTCAAAAGGCAACTACGGTATAGTAAATACAAGTTTGACGGATTAATTACGTATCTCACGTCTTGCAACTTGAGCACATTCATTTACGAGTACTATATTATAGCCTATAGGTAGATCAGTCATAGGGGGTGGTCACGGAAAAGAACGTACTCTGATGCTGTTTCCTTTGTCACCGACCCTTCGATGATTGTCCACCTCCGCAAACCGGTGTCTTCTTACGCGGACGTCATTGCCGGACGCGAAACGAGGAAGTCGGTGAAAAATAAACAGATTGGTAATAAAAATAACGATGACGATGTATTGTTATAGCGAAAACTGTCGGACGTCGGTGTCTCGGTGTAAAGGCGACTTCACGATAGTAAAAATAATGCGCTCGAAACTATGCGCGTCAGCCGATCCGGGCCAGTATCAGACTTGGTGTAAATGTCTATCGAACCGCCCGGACGAGTAGAAAACATAATATCGTAGTGCGCGTTAACGTATGTGCGCGCGTAGAGGAAAATTTCGGAAATTTTTCTGTCAGACTTCGACGTACAATATTATTATTATTATTAAAATAAAAACATTAATTATTGTTGTCCGCGAAAATGTTAGATAACTGATAAGCAAGGTTGGAACGGGACGGTGGTCGTTGTTGTCATCGTTATCAAAGGCGTTTGTACTTTTACAGTGCGTGCATTGGCGCGGTCCGACTTCACAAAGCTTGCATTTATTTTTATAGTTGTTGTCGTCATTCATTATCACATACGATAGTATGAATAGTACGATACTTGCGTGTGTGCTCGGCAGCCTGGACCCCTGTGCGCAATGCTAATACTAATATACACTTTTTAGTTTTTACTTTTTTTTGTACTTATTTATGTTTTTAATGTTTTCTAAATCCGCGAATTACTAGCTCTTTCCAAACACTGCAAACTTTTCGTTGTCTATTCTGAACGCTTTTCGTTGATTTTGGTCGCTGCCGTAGCCATAACTCCTTCGATCACTCGTATTCACCGCCGTGTCTAATTCGTGCGACGCGTCCGACAGCAGCCCTCGGATAACCACACGGTAAGTGTCTTGTTCATCAACGGTGTCCCCGATTAACGGAGTTTTTGAAACGAACATTTGGGTGGTTTGTTACAGGTAACAGAAGGCGATGAACAAGGACACGAACAGGCGGATATTGGCAATACAGGCGAAGAAAAAAAGACGTAAATTACCTAAGAAGCCACACGAAGACCGCAAGACTGCTTTGCCTTCCGTGCCGAACAACAAAAGCTCAGACAAACCCAAACCCCATGTGAATCAGAGGGACAGCGATTCTTCATCAAATGAGTCTGACGAGGGTACCGATGAGATGTATGCGTCTGACGAGGAAGAACAAGAAGAGTCTAGCGATTATTGCAAAGGCGGTTATCACCCTGTCCAAATAGGAGATGTATTTCAAAATAGGTGAGATAGACATTCAAGATTCTTACCTTACAATTCCAATGGCACTAATATAGTAACATTTTTGAAAATAATGAGCAATAGCTCTTATAAAAATTTATTGCAAGCCATGTTATTAAAAACTGCATATTTTATACCTAGAAAAAATTCCCAGTTACTATTTATAACTGTTAATAATTAGGGGTGATGGTAAGGAGATGAGAAAGCTGAGTTTTCATAACTCTTCCCACAATAGTTTTACCCTCATAAGAGATGTATACTTTTATTAATGGTTGTGCCAATACCAAAATTTTTATTATGTGCACAAAAAGCGTAATATGAACAATCACAATCATCATTTTTGTGCATCTTTGATAATTTTAAAACTATTACAAGGTAAATATTGACTATTAAAAAGTGATTGTAGTTAAATTGTGTTAAAAAAATTATAAATAATAAATTTTCATTGTTAAGAGCAGATAACAATAGATAATTAGCCTCTTATAAATTAGAATATTGTTTTAAAATAGTCCCTCTATATTATTATAATTAAAGCAATGGTATCATAATAATGATAAGTATGATTAGTTAAAAGATTAGCCAATCTATAAAAAAAATTAATTGAAAAAAATTATTTTGAATTTTTAAAAGTATTTATCTTGATATTTATAACTACAAGATTGAAAAAATGATAAAACAAAATTTAATATTATTTTTACTTACTGTCTTTACAGATATCATGTGTTAAGAAAACTTGGATGGGGCCATTTTTCAACTGTTTGGCTATGTTGGGATTTTACTGACAAGCGTTATGTTGCGCTTAAAGTAGTAAAAAGTGCTTCTCATTTTACTGAAACTGCTTTAGACGAAATAAAACTTTTGAAAAGTGTTCGTGATTCTGATACTAGTGATAAAAAACGGGAGCGAGTAGTCATGTTATTGAATGATTTTAAAATTAGTGGTGTTAATGGTAATCATATATGTATGGTATTTGAAGTACTTGGACATAATTTGTTAAAGTTGATTATTAAAAGTGATTATTCAGGTATACCAATACAAAACGTTAAAAGTATTATACAACAGGTACTTGAGGGCTTAGATTATTTACATACGAAATGTAAAATAATACACACTGACATTAAACCAGAGAATGTATTAATATGTGTTGATGAAAAATATATAAAAAATTTGGCAAAAGAGGCAGCTGAGATTCATCAAACTGGACAAAAATTACCTGTATCATTTAGTAGTACTGCACCCAAAAGTAATCTCAATAAACCTAATTTGACTAAAAATCAGAAAAAAAAAATGAAGAAAAAAGTCAAACGACAATCTGAACTCCTCAAAGTGCATATGCAACAGTTAGAAGAACAAGAGTCCCAACAAATTGAAGAATGTAGTGCTGAAAATAATAAAGGTATGTAATTATCATAGTTATGTATTTATTCTTAGAGTAGACATAATATTTTTAATTATAAACAGTATGCATTACCTTTTGGGTTAATTATTTGACTAAAATTTTAAGATTAAATTTATTATATGGTTTAAAATTCATAACATGATACTATAAGATTTATTATTCTCGTAGTTAATATTTTTAATGTTTTTATTTGAATAATTGTTTTTAAATACAATTTTTTTTTATTTTTTTTATGAAGTTTATTAAATGTTTCATAATTTTAAAAACCTAGCTAAAAATATTTTCACTGCCTTTGCAAGACACTTTTTATTTTGAAATGTTTTTAATGGTTGATTGTAACTATTGATTTTATTTTGTATGTTTTTAGATGTCAAAACCACAGAAGAATCAATAACAGTTGATACAAATGCTAGTGAATCTCTATCTAATGGTTATAGTAGTGACAGCACTAATCCAAATGTGGCAAACTCTCCAACTAATGAATCTAATACAGAAAATGATCATAATTCTGATGAAACTAGTATAATACATGAAAATGGAACTGGAGAATCTAGTAAAAAAAATAAACCTTTATCAAAAAAACGGTCGTTTAGAAGTAAATCTCGCGATGATCCTTCAGAAGATCCAGCTTTTAATATATGTGATATCAATGTAAAAGTAGCTGACCTTGGTAATGCATGTTGGATAGATCGCCATTTTACAGAAGATATTCAAACTAGACAGTATCGTTCTTTAGAAGTATTAATTGGAGCCGGATATGGTACATCATCAGATATATGGAGTGTTGCATGTATGGCATTTGAATTGGCAACTGGTGATTATTTGTTTGAACCACATTCAGGTGAGGCTTATTCAAGAGACGAAGATCATATTGCTCATATTATAGAGTTGTTGGGTAAGATTCCCAAAAAAGTTATTGATGGAGGAAAGCAATCGCCGCAGTTTTTCAATAAACGTGGAGAGCTGCGCAATATAAGTAGTTTGAAACCATGGTTTTTGTATGATGTATTAAGAGAAAAGTACAAATGGCCTGAATGTGATGCTAAGGCATTCACTAGTTTTCTACTACCAATGTTAGAGTTTGATCAAAATGCTAGAGCTACAGCTGCTCAGTGTTTACAACATGAATGGTTAAAATGTTGATTATACTTCTGCTGTTAACATGTACTTGGTAAGAATTGAAATATATTTTTATTTTGTAGTAGAACTTTATGTTTGTATTTTCTAATAAAGCCACAGAAAAATATGAATTTTATATCATGTAAATAAGTATTAAATATATATTTTTTAGAATAATACATATAATATTAAAATAGTCATTTTAAACATAATTTATGGAAGATATTTTAACTAAAATTGTTTATTTTAATGGTTTATTTGTAGTAAAAAAGCAGATTTTATATAGTATGTTTTTAAGCAAACAAATAATTCCAATAATTTATTAAATAGTCATGTTATTAATGAATGTAAATAACTGCAATTTATGTTTATTATTTTCCTTAATTCTTTAAACATTGCTTTCAATAAATTAGTCAAAGAATTAGATTTAATATGATATTTCAAATTTACTTGCAATAACAAGTTTATCACTCACTGCATCATTATTATTTTTTACAATAAACAATCATTTTGGTGATTTTTATCCCAGAATTAATTTGTTTTTATCTTGAAACTTTTCAATGAGTTTTTTTTTAAATTTTGTTCCTATTCACTCCAATGGTTAACACATTTAGTCAAAATAACATACTTAAGCTACTTAATTACACATCACATGAGTTCCCAATTCCTATATCATATAATTTATGGGAATAAAGTTATTTTGTATATAAAATGATTTTATTTTTATCATTATATTGTAACACATTATTATTTATAGTTATTTTTTTTCACAATATTATTGATAAAAAAATCTTATGCATTAATTAATGTGAGAATAAACCTTTATTTACTGTCCAATTTTATGACATGTAATTATTACTATTAACTGTTAAAATTACTTATCATAATTTGTAATATATTAAAAAAACACCATATTCAATGATTTCAAAAATATAAGTTATAGGCCTGTTTTTGTATATTCTAACTATAATCATAATAATTACCTTAATTTTTATTGTTATAAGGGTAATTTGTATAACACGAGCCTATTTATTTTAAGAATAAATTATAATTGATTAATATTTTAGCATGTTTTTCAATTAATTAATTAGTTGTATATTGCTTTTTTGTAATTTGAAAGTTCATAGTTCTTTCATTTATTGTCAGACAAATTGCAAAATTGTTTTTTTGTGTTTATTATTTTTAAAATACAATTAATTTTTTAATAAATTGGTTAATGGGTACAGTAAATTCAGATTGTGATTTATGAATAGTAGTAGTCTAATCTATAACAGAATATTGAATTGTGGTATTGGTTATAATAACTTTTAAACAATTATAAATTATGTCTAAAAGTTTTATAAATAAGACAACATATTTTTTTATTCTTCCATTTAAATGCTTTACTTTATACCAGTGTTGCTTAGAGTATAATAAAAGTAACCTGTTTCTGCACAATATTTTATCTAATCTAATAACTCAACAATTTTTAAACAGAAATTTATAATTTTTTCTTATTCCTTTATCAAAAAATATATCTCATTTTAACTCATTAAAATGGTACTTTTAAAATACATTCATAGATATGTATTTTTTTACCAGGAGTGTTTAGTAATGAATAATAATAAATAAAAAAAAAAAACACAAATTAATATTTTATGTATC